ATTATTCTTACACAATCAGTTCTTGTTTAGTAAATCAGTCTCAAAACAAGATCAAAAAGACTTTTTGGCTGATATAAGGTTTTAACACTTGGTTAGGTGGACATGTTTTGCAGTGCAGATGATTTTTATGTTTTTGCTGATTCACTTGATTGAATCAGCTCCTCCTGCCTGAGTCCTGTGGGATGTATTGCGAGCTGTGGTTCCAGTAGGTGACAGAGCGACTGATCTGGGAGCAGTTTGAGCCCAGAGCTGCCCTCCGAGGCGTTGCTATGAGCTTTGTTCTGCCTGGCTGCTGTTCTCTTCCCACGATCCTCCCGAGCGGCRGAGTCATCGCGAGCCCCGTCTCCATGCATGGTCAGGCCGTCCCCGTCACCCAGCGGGGCGGCCGGGCCTACCAGRAACACAGCAGGAGACCTGTTCGCCTCGCTCCTCAGACATGCTCCTTCAGACGAGCCGCTGCGAGCCACCTGCTCCTCACGCCCGTCTCCCTCCGCAGACACGTGTCCCTGCTCTGAGACGCCGCTCACAGTCAGACAGAAAACTGGGCCGAGGTGTGAAAAGTTGACAGCGTTTGGTAAAGACCGGACACGGCGGATGTTTCGTCGTGAAATGAACAGCTGCTTACTCCACCGGCAGATACAGTATTTTGACTTAATTTGAGTCAAATCATGTGGCCCTCATTTACACCGAGGGCCACATGAGCGTTATGGTGGCCCTCAAAGGGCCAGTTAGCTTTGACGTTTCATATTTAACTTCAACTAAACACAAAACACCACGTTCTTCATCTCATTGCTATGACTGAGCACCGCTAAGGAACAATAACTGAGCTCTACCTGGTATTTCCTGCATAGAAACAGYGTTTTAAGAYGTCCGCTTATAAACACGGTAAATGAGTCTGGCTTACTAAATGTGAAATAAATACTACATAATTATTTTTAAAAGTAAAAGTAAGAGAGTTTTACTCACTGAGTTGTGGTGAGTTGCTGCCGCCTTAAATTCTGAACTCTCCCATTTTCTGACGGAACTCCCATGGATGATTGACGTACATAATGGGAGATGTAGTTTATGCTCAAGCTGGCTTTAAAGCAGCTTTTTAGAATAAAGAAAACTTTCTCATCAAAAATCTTTGACATACAAAACCTATAAGCGACGTGCACTGACAGGTGTTCCTTAGACAGAATTTACTGTTTAACATGACATCAAGCATAAATATTAAACATAAAACATGTTACTGTTAAGCAGATAGCTTTAGTTACTATCTGAATTAGCAGCTGTGTTTGCACCTGTCTATTGTTTGAYRGCTGTGGTTGTTTTCCCTTTAGCCAAATTATGAGAAAAGCCAGAATTAGCTGGGGCTTTTTAGAGAAAGTTTAGTTTGTTGAGAAAGTTTTCTTTATTCAAAAATGTTTGTGTTTAATAAAGTAGGTGAGCAGCCTAAGCATGCTAGTTGCTAGCCTCTCTGATGCTAATGCCAGTTTATCCATGCTAGTTGCTAGCCTCTCTGATGCTAATGCCAGTTTATCCATGCTAGTTGCTAGCCTCTCTGATACTAATGCCAGTTTATCCGTGCTAGTTGCTAGCCTCTCTGATGCTAATGCCAGTTTATCCATGCTAGTTGCCAGCCGTCTTTGATGCTAAAGCAAATGAATAGTCTCCTTGTCATTTGCCAGTGCCGACCTCTCAGTTACTGGTGCTGACCTATCATTATCAGATCAATATCTGGCTTAAGAATAGATATAGCCTCCTGCTTCAATGATGTAGCAACCACTGGTTGYGCAATAGTCTACATTTTGACCCTCATAGCCGTTTTGTGTGAGCTTSATTCATGCGGTTATTCCCTTGACAAGTATTCCACCTGTTTTATCACCTGTTTCCACTACAAGACACTTGCGTTGATTTTTCTCCTGGTCATATTCAAAGGAATCCCAAATTAGTCGTTGATGTTTTCTCCCAACTTTTGCTGTCATAATTTTGCAGATGATGCTGAGCAGCAGCAGACTGTAAACAAATGTTACGGAACATGAGGTGCTGCCCACAAGCTAATGTAAAACTGCTTGATTTGTACATAAAAAATAAAAAAAACATTTGTTTAATTAGTCCACACGGCTGAAAATAAATTGACAACAACTAAAACGAAAGACAAGTGTAGTTTTGTAAAAACATAATACATTTCTAGTTCATTTTATTACAATAAATTTTTTTCAGTTAACTAAAATGTTTTTTTCAATTTCAGTTTTCATTATTTTGTTAGTTTTAGTTAACTGTAATAACCACGCTCTGGACTGAAGAAGAGGAAATCATTTATAACTGGAATCCCAGCTAATTCACCCCAAAGGTCAGACTGTACAACATTCAGAGAGATAACAACAAAAAAAGTTTAATTCTGAACTCTGTAGGTTAAAGTTCACGACAGGACAGTAAGAAAGAAGCCTGGACAAGTTTGGCTTCGTTTCTACTTTACCGCTGGAAGAAGTTAGCAAACATGCCCTCATCTCTGACAGCCTCGCATCGCTGACACGTGACTTTCAGAAGAGGACACGGCTGCCTTATCTCCCAACAGTTCTGCTGACAGGACGCTCGCGTTGGACAAATCCAAAGCCAAATATTTAGGCACCAAACAGTTTGAGGCTCCGTTGTCCAACCTGTGATAAAGAGCGTGTCGGGCGGAGGAACTTGGGTTCATTAGCTCGGTCCCCTGATAAGGATGTATAAACAGCTCCCTCTTGCAGTGGCTACAGAGAGAAGCTGCCCCTSTGAACAGGCTGCTTCCCACCAGGACCAGGGAGCATGAATATTTTAAACGGGTAAATAATTAATAATTAACAGCAAACAGGCCACTGATCAAATGGAGCAGACATGAAAACTCTGACTCTTGTAAACAAAGACGAGAGGACCCAGATTTCCTCCCCTCATTCCACCTTTTTTTCTCGCCTGCTAAATATGCGCATCCTCAATCACCCCCCCCGCCCCCGTAAAAAAAACCACACACATGTAGGAACACACAACATCGGCGATGGCGTCACCCCCAACATCTCTTATTTTTCTCGAATTTCCACGTATTCCTCTGTGACCCGGAGAATGGGAACGAGCGGGAACACTTGATCTGGCCACCCGCTGTTTTCTGATGGAAAGATTTGGTTTTTTAATACGATCGTCACTCCTCCCACCTGGATAGGCCACGGCAAGACAAATCCCATCTGTGTGGCTGCAAACCCTGCCACAGCTCCAGAAATTCCCTTATTACAACTCCCTCAAAATGCCCAGCCACACCAACTCGCAACAACGGCGGAAACGCTAATCACATTTCTCAGCAGCTTAGGGGGAGACAGACCCAAAAAAAAAGGGAGAGAAAGGAGATGAAGTCCCAGCTTTAATGACACACATTTACAGAAACAACCTCCAGAATCTGGCACATCTTTTTTCGCCTGACTTTCGCCAGAGGAGGCGTTTCATAAAAATCTGACTTAATCGTGTAAACAACACGCAGACAAACAGTAAACCTCTGCAAACTGAAATAAAACTGCTCWGGAAGCCGCGCACGGATTGCCTTCAGAGTTAATTTTAAAGTAAGCATCCCCTTCCTTGGAGATTTTAATTAATGCTTTAATATGCAAATAAGTCAGCGGAGATAAAATCATGACAAACAGATGGCAAGTGTGGGTAATTATTTTGTGAATCCAGCCGGGGCATGTATTAAAGTTATGGCATCGTTTTCCTCGGGCCTCTGCAGCCACAGAAAACATCACAAATTCGGCAACCGTCARGTCTGAAAGAGACCAAAACCCCTCGTTCTGAATCCAAACAAACCGTTAAACTCACGCTCTTGCAGAGCAGAAAGGCCGAAGCTGTCCCCGTCCTCTAATGATAGCTTGATTATCGCTGCCACTCGCCTGCATCTGTACGTGCATTCTTTTGTTTGTAGCGTTAGCAAMATATCTCATAAACCAGAGGACGTGCTTTAATGAAACTATAAGTAATCAGTGGATTTACACGTACAACTGGTTAGCTGAACAACCACAAAAATGGGCACGTCTCTKTCAGTTTTATAGATATTGAGCTAAAACTTGGTGTGGTAGTAGCTGAGAGTCATCATCAACACATACTTTGATTTATTTTTTATTTATCTACAGTATTAAAGTCGGAGAATTCAGAGCTCTTCATGTGTTTTAAGGTTTATGATWTGTTCCTGCAGTAAAAACCTTTGATTGGAGCCACGTGGACTTACAGAACCAGCTACCTGCTCCTCTGGAGGCATGGGGTCCACATCCAGCTGGGCCAGAGAGCGGTTGATCCTCAGGGCCAGACTGAGGGCCATCAGACCCCCCAGCTTCACCGGGTTCTGACGGAGGTCCAGTCTCTGAATGTGGCGGCTCTCTGCGAGGACTTCAGCCAAAGCCACAGCACCTTCATCGAAAAAAAAAAACACTCTAGCAAATTTTAGCATTCAGGATTCAGACTGTATTTTGCAGAAAATTAGAATTCTCTTTTTATACATGGTTTTACATATACCACCCTGACCACACCAGATCTCATCTATCTTGGAAGCTAAGCAGGGCGGGGCCTGGTCAGTACCTGGATAGGAGACCACCTGGGAAWACCAGGTGCCATAAAATGAATGTAGGAGTTGCTCCCCCAATAAAAAAGTTAGCAAGAGAAAACCTTTGATTAGGTCATAGGTCGCCATCAGAGTTGTAAAGTAACTAAGTACAAATACTTTGTTACTGTACTTAAGTAGAAATTTTGGTTATCTGTACTTTACTTGAGTAATTATTTTTCAGCGTACTTTTTACTTTTACTCATTACATTTTTACACAATTATCTGTACTTTCTACTCACTACATTTTTTAAAAAGGTAAGAAGTAGAAAGTCGTTGCTCCTATTTTATTCTGAGTTGTTATTACTTAAAAAAATCCTCTCCTGATAAACTGTGTCTCCTATAGAGTGAATTTAAT